TTTTTTTTTTTTTTTGCTAACGGAAACTTGGTCCTTTTTTGTGGTCATTCTGTTTCTCGTTCTTTTTTCGTCTTTGCGGTTTTGAAACTTTCCAGTCCGCTGCTGTCGGTTTCTCCCTTCTTTTTCCCCACCCCCAAAATACAGTCAGGGCTTCCGATTGGGCCCTGGGAATGACAGTCTTGAGGTGAGCAGCATCACCTGGCGGCTTGCTTTACTCCCAGGCGCTTTTTTTCCGAAACGAGAAAGAAAGTTGTAGAAAGTTGGACCGACGTTCGCCGAGCGGCCTCCGAGGTTTGATCTCAGCACCTGGTGTCCCCAAGCTGAACAGGTGTAGCAGAATCAAAGCACCAGCCTCTCTGAAGCTGTCCCACAACCCAGTGGCATCATGCGAGGTACCGTCAATGGGGATGGCATAGGTTGTGGCGGGCAGCTGCTTGATGCCCGGGCAGCAGAAGTTTGCAAACTGGTTCAGGCCTCAAAACATTAAAAAAAAAAGAAAGAAAGAAAGAAAGAAGTTTCTTCAAACTTCTTGAAACTTTTAAAAAAAAAACGAAGTTTCTCCAAACTGCTTGAAACGTAAAGAAGAAAAGGTTCTTTGAACTTCTTGAAAGTTTTAAAAAGAGAAAAGTTTCTCCCAATTTCTTGAAACTTTTCAAAAAAAAAAAACTTTTCAAAAAAGAAACGTTTCCTTCAAACGTCTTGAAACTTTTTTTAAAAAAAGTGTCTTCAAACTTCTTGAAAGTTTTTGAAAAGGGGTCTTCAAACTTCTTCAAGAAGAAAAGTTTCTTCAAATTTCTTGAAGCTTAACTTGAAAAAGGGAAAGAATTTTTGTTCCAAACTTCTTGAAACTTAAAGTGAAAAAAAAAAAAAGAGGCAAGAAAAGTCTCTGCAAATTTCTGTTGAAGGGGCACAAATCCCATGGGAGAAAATTGGTGCTGTTTGAGCAAGCTTTCCCCCTTCCTTTAACCATCCTCTTGCAGAATCCCAGCCAATTCTCTCAGAATCTCAGTTTGGAAAAAATTCAGGTTTATTGTGGCATCCTGCCGGGTCTCGAAGTCATCTGGGATTGTGTCTGCTGGTGTGTGTGATGTGCTTGCCTGACGGCGCTATAGATGAATGTTATGGTTCTTGATTTCTGTGGTGGTTGTGTTTTGCCGGGGTTGTTCACCGTTTCGGAAACTCTGAATGCTTCTCTGGCTGTCTCCTGAAAATAAGATGAAACTGCATATGAGATAAGGGGAAGATGAGATAA